TGTCAGAGATACTGTTCTTAACTTTTTTATTGACTCATTTATTTATATCTGTTGAAATATTATCATACAATACTATCGACCTAAATAGATTTTTTCCATGAGACTTCGTTTGTTCTTCAACAAAGTTTATGAAATGTTCGATATGATCAAATTTGGTCAAGACGTGTGTAATTATTAAGTAATAACCATAGCAATCCGTCAAGAGTCGATATAACATTGCTTCTATGTTTTTTATGAAACACATATAGACGATATTCAAGAAATATCAAAGACTAAAGTATTCAAAATTAAATTTTATAATCAATCATCGGATGATGAACGAATAACACAATAAACTCAGCGTTTCTATAAGAATGTTATGTCTCAATCACTATGTTTCGTTATCTATAGACAGAACATTTACACATCGAATGGTGAAAAAATTTGAAAATAGGGTGTGCTTGTGGGGTGTGCTTGTGGGGTGTGGGTGTGGGCATAAGGGCATAGAAGATCGACATCCACCCACACCCACGCCCCACACATTATCTGAACCATCAAAAAAAAACATAAATCTATGAAGGATCGGTTTGCTGATCCAGATGATATTGATGGTGATGATAATATTGATGTAGCTTCATTGGCGACATTTAAAAATGATGAATCAGACAAATACTTGAGAATGAATATCGAAGACATTTATAAACAATCGCATCCACTTTTATTCTGGAAACACAATCAAAACAAGTTTCCATGTTTATCATTACTTGCTCGCCGTCTTTTTTCAATTCCAGTTACATCAGCTGCAGTCGAACATTCTTTTTCTGCTGCTGATCTAGCAGTTACTGAACGTCGTTCTTCTCTTGATCCTAGTACTGTCAATGATATTCTCCTAGTCGAATCCATTCAAAATGTTCTTTCAAAAAAGCCAGATTTTTTTTCATAATATTATTTTTTCTGCTTAATTATTTTTTCTTCATGTCAAGATGATTCAATTAATAAATAATTATTCTAGTCATCTGGAGCAAATTCAAATGACTGCGTTCGCTCTCTACAATCATATATTTGTTTCTACTCTACCATCATCATTGTATTCACTGGAAAAAAAATAGACAGGCAGGCCAGGCCGAAGAGAAACGTCGGCAGGCACAGGCAGGCTGCAATGAGCATGAGCCTGTTACAGGCAGGCCAGGCCTGCAAAAACGCGGCCTGTTTGGACCTCTGATGCACTTCCATTCACAAAGCACAATGAAAATAAGAAAATGGATATTCAGAGACGAAGAATCAACGATCTACCCACGGGAGAAAAAGTTGATTGCAACCTAACTAATAATTGGCAAACAATGGCCGTCAACGGCAATCATTAACACTCAAGGTTCTTTTAAGAAAATCTTACAAAAGAATTGTCTTGTACTAGCCAGAAAACATGTTGTAGTAACAAACGACCCGTGAATTGAGACAGTACCGATTAGATGGCCTTTAAGATTCACCCTACTAATGCCGAAAGGTAAAAATGACGTGCATTAAAAATGTCGAACGTAAAGATCTCGAAAGTAAAAATGTAGAATGTTAAAATATCGAAATTAAAACCATCAAATTATATGATTTTATAATACTTCTGATGTTCGAAATTTCTAGCGGTTAAGTTGGAAAAATAAACAGTCGGATTTGGGTCTAAATATGAGTACTTATCTTCCCTTTAGGGTGTGAGTAACGATATACCTAAAATTTCATCCACACCCCACACCTACCCGCGCCGGATGGTCCGTTTTGTTAAAGCATATCGTTCGTGCTTGTTTCTAGTTTTTAGTCCAATATGCCAATGCAAACAGTGCATTATATTGCGGCGCTAGTATATGAGCATAAATTTCGGGTAATCGCTTAATCATTTTATTTGATATATAATCAAAGCTGAAAGAATTCTTCGAATTCATTCCTCAGATTACATTCCATATATCCTTTGGTGAAACTTTAAGATCCGTGTCTTGACAGCCCAGTTGAATATCATCAAGATCAGCTTTACTCAATTTTTCCCACAATTCATGTACCTCTTTATCTGATTGAATATTCATCTCAGTGATGGATGGTGTAAATCTTGAAATAAAATGATGTGTAAGATGGGAAAGTATTTGAACCGGGTCGTTGTATGTACGCTTATCATCTGATATAGCTGAAAATTGAATAAAGCGTTTTTTATTAAACGATTTTACCGTTTTCCAAAAGGTAGAAGGATTTGGTGATGTGATGTTCGAAATGAATTGATTCCATTTGTTTGATCAGTGTTGTTTAAACTCACGCTGTATTATTTTGTACCATATTCTGAGATTGAGCCTATCTTCTTCGGTTCTTGTATGTTGACAGCGATTCAGGAGATAATGCTTGTGTCTAAGCATTATTCTTGGTGCCTCAGAAATGGTGGGCCGTTTTCATTTGATTTTATGCCACTTTGTGGCTCAAAGTTTTAGAGCAACGAGGAAGTCTTAAAAATGTTCGAACCAGTTAGATGGATACATAATTGTGGATTGGGTGTCGTCGTATATTTCTGAACTAAGGATGGTAAGGATAGTCGTATAGATCTCCCAGTTCACCTTCGGAATTGTGTTGTTTTGTTCGGTAATTGAAATATCTGTAAATTCGGCCATGATTGAAAAATGATCACTTCCATTATGCACTAATAGTTGCCTTTGTACGGAAAATTGATGTTCATTGGATATCATTAGGTCGATCATTGTTTTAGATCGAAGAGAAGTTATCATTCCTAGATTATGTACTACTAGATTATTCATTTGCAGCTATTGATTTAGATCTCGACCTTTTTTGTTACGTAATGAACATCCCCATTGTTCATGCTTTGCGTTCAAACCACCTACAATTATGTTGGATTTACATGTTTTAAGAATTTCGGATAAGATCTGAAGTGGCAAAGCTTCTGTAGGTAGGGAGTATAAAGAGGTGATTGTATATAGTTTATCATTAATTGACAAAAATAAGTTAATGATATTGGGTTGATGATGGTTAAGAGCTCTAGCATGAAGTTACTTGGCGACTGCCACAACTACTCCTCCATGCGAGTTTGATCCTTGAGCTTTAAAGACGTCGTATAAAATTAAGAAAGTTTTGATTGTTTTTAAAGGAGCATCCGTACCAAGTTCATTTATTGATATTTTGCACGGATTGTACTTTTCGATCATATCCAGGAGATCACATTGATTTTTATAGAAATTTCGTATGTTCTAATGTAAGACGGATAAGTTATTTGAAGTTGATTGTGTTTGTTGATGATAGTTTTGCCATTTGGCAAATAATGTTTGTCGAGGATAGGTCCAGCACTACTCCTCTATAATTTTAAGTGCTAGATCCCGATCATAACCATTCCAGTGTCTAGTAAATATTTCGAGTTTATGTTTCAATTCTGTGAATTTATATGTATTAAATTGATTCATGCTTTTTAACTTAACTAAGTACGTTCGTTTGAATTTGTATAAGGTTATTTCGTTGACTTCGTTTTTTAGATCTTGGCGTATTGAAATTATGTTCGTGTTGATCCATCAGAAGGAATTCTATTTTTTCACTACATGATGATGTTATGTCTTGTTGATAATTGTGTTGAGTTCGATTTAGATGTTTGTGTCTGGAAAGAGTATCCCGGCTTGTCCACGTAACGCGACACTTCGCTGATCAAGTTTCGAAAAATGTTTTTTTCGAGTTGGACAAATCTGAATGCGTTACTAGATGCAATTTTTAACGCTGATTACGAATTTGACATTTATTTTGTAAAAAAGTTAGGTTTTAGAATCAAAAACTGGGTTTTAAACT